TCTCTCAGGGCTTACCTCTTCCATTCCTGTTAACTTCCCACTTTGTCCTCAGACCACTGTTAGACAGTAAAACTGAACATCACAATAATTATAAAATGATCTAATAGCCTACAAAGAGTAGCAGATTGCTCCATGTGTTTAAAGTTTTTAAAGGAAACCCAGTTAAAAGAAACTCAGCATAATTTACTCCAAGATATCATATTTTGTCTAACTTATTTTTCATACTTCTACACCTTTATGACTTCAAGGTTTTAATCATAATGATTACTGTTACTCTTTTGTCCAGGAGATGTAACTATCAGCAAAATTGGACATACAAATTGTTACTATTAATAGTTTCCTTAACAGAAGAAAGTCAGCCCCAGGAATGTCATATCTTATTTATTTATTTATTTTACATTAGCTGAACCCTGGATTCATCTCCACAACTTTTTTCTCAGGTACAGACATACCTCGTTTTAGTGCACTTCACTTTATTGCACTTCATAGATATTGCGACTTTTACAAATTGAAGGTTTGTGGCAACTCTGCGTCAAGCAAGTCTATCAGTGCCATTTTTGAAACAGCATGTGCTCACTTCATATTTCTGTGCCACACTTTGTTAACTCTCTACTTCAAACTTTTCCATTAATATTTTATCTGTTATGGTGATCTATGGTCAGTAATCTTTCATATTACTGTCGTAACTGTTTGGGGCACCACAACTGCACCCATATAAGATGGCACTTAATTGATAAATGTTGCATGTGTTCTGATTGCTCCACCTACCAGCCGTTCCCCAAACTCTTTTCCTTTCCCCAGGCCTGTTCCCTGAGACACAACAACATTGAAATTAGGCCAGTTAATAACCCTACAATGGCCTCTATGTGTTCAAGTGGAAAGAGGAGTCACACATCTCTCACTTTAAATCAAAAGCTAGAAATGATTAAGCTTAGTGAGGAAGGCATGTTGAAAGCCTAGAGAAGCCAAAAGCTAGACCTCTCGTGTCAAATATTTAGCCAAGTTGTGAATGCAAAGGAAAAGTTCTTAAAGAAAATTAAAAATGCTATTCCAAAGAATGCATGAATAATAAGAAAGTGAAATTTTATTGCTGATATAGAGAAAGTAGTCTGGATAGAAGATCAAACCAGCTACAACATTTCCTTAGCCAAAGCCTAATCCTAACTCTCTTCAATTCTATGAAGGCTAAGAGAGGTGACGAAGCTGCAGAAGAAAGTCTGAAGCTAGTAGAGCTTGGTTCATGAACTTTAAGGAAAGAAGCCACCTCCATGAAATAAAAGTTCAAAGTGAAGCAGCAAGTGCCAATGTAGAAGATGCAGCGATTTATCCAGAAGATCTAGCTAAGATAATTGATGAAGGTGACTACACTAAAAAATAGATTTTCAACGTTGGTAAAACATCCTTATATTGGAATAAGAAGCAACCAAGAACTTCAAAACCAAAAAAGAAAAAGCAAAGCCCGGCCTCAAAACCTCAAAAGAAGGGCCGAACCCCCTAATCAAAAGAAAGACTGCTGGTGACTTTAAGCTGAAGCCAGTGCTCATTTACTGTTCTGAAAATCCTAGGGCCCTTAAGAATTTTGCTAAATCTACTCTCCCCGTGCTCTATAAATAGAACTATAAAGCCTGCATGGCAGCACATCCATTTACAACATGGTTTACTGAATATTTTAAGCCCACTATTAAGACCTACTGCTGAAAAAAAATTCCTTTCAAAAGATTGCTGCCCATTGACAATGTACCTAATCACCCAAGAGCTCTGATGGAAATATACAAGGAGATGAATGTTGTTTTCATGCCTGCAAACACAACAACTCTTCTACAGCACATGGATCAAGGAGTAATTTCAACTTTCAAGTCTTACGATTTAAGAAATACATTTCATAAGCCTATAGCTGCCATGGAAAGTGATTCCTCTGATGGATCTGGGCAAATTAAATCAAAAGCCTTTTGGAAAGGAGTCACCATTCTGGATGCCATTAAGAACATTCATGATTCAGGGAAGAAGTCAAAATATCAACATTAACAGGAGTATGGAAGAGGTGATTCCAATCCTCATGGATGACTTTGAGAGGTTCAAGACTTCAGTGGAGGAAGTAACTGCAGACGTGGTAGAAAAAGCAAGAGAACTAGAATTAAAAGTGAAGTCTTAAGATGTGACCAAACTGCTGCAATCTCATGATCAAACCTGAACAGATGAGGAGTTGCTTCTTACAGATGAGCAAAGAGATGGAATTTACTCCTGGTGAGGATACTATGGATGTTGTTGAAATGACAACAAAGGATTTAGAACATTACATAAACTTAGTTGATAGGGCAGCAGCAGAGCTTGAGAGGATTGACTGCAATTTTGAAATAAGTCCTACTGTGGGTAAAATGCTATCAAACAACATTGCATGCTACAGAAAAATCTTTCATGAAAGGAAGAATGAATCAATATACCAAAATTCATTGTTGTCTCATTTTGAGAAATTGCCATGGCCACCCAAACTTTCAGCAACCACCACCCTGATCAGTTAGCAGCCATCAACACTGGGGCAAGAGCCTCCAACAGCAAAAAGATTATGATTTGCTAAAGGCTCAGATGATCGTTAGCATATTTTAGCAATAAAGTATTTTCAGTTAAGGTATGTACATTTTTTTTACATATAATACTATCACACACTTAATAGACAACAGTATGGCATGAACATGACTTTTATGTGCACTACGAAACCAAAAAATTTGTGTGACTTTGCTTTATTGCAATATTCACTTTATTGCAGTGGTCTGGAACCCAACCCGCAATATCTCTGAGGTATGCCTGTAACTTTTCTCAAGACATGTTATGCAACTATTTCTTAGGGTTTTCTGAAAAAGTCCTGTAATTTTTTCTATTTTTTGACTATGCTGCTCCAATTTTTATTTGGAAAAGTGTGGTCACTTTATCTATACATTTATTACAGTATGCAAATCTGGATATTTATATATTTTTAAATTACCTAGGAAGGATCA